GAACAGGATTACCATCAATGTTGAGATTCTCCTGTATCGCTATTAAATTCCCTACCAATTCTAACAACAGCTCATATGAATCAGCAAGTGTTTTCCCCATGAGCTCAGAATCTGGAGGCACTGCCAACTGATTTGCATTCCCACCAATACCGAGTTTTTCCTGAATAGCTATTATATCCTTCTTCTTATATAAAAACAGTCCATATAATAGAGCAAGTGTTTTGGGATTATTTGCCATGATTGCTATAATAAAGTAATATATTTAATGTGGAAAATTCATTAACTTCATCCATATCAGCCGATGAGGAGGATTATCTAAAAATGCTCACGGGATCTATTAACGATGAGACCGCTTATTGGGATATACCGTATGAGGCTAGAATAGAGGAAGGAGAACCAAATGAAGTGACAATGACTCCGATGCCAATGAATCCGACTCCGATGCTAATAAATCTGATTCTGATGTATATTTCAAATCTGATGACTCTGACTCCAATGATGAGTATGATCACAAACTTCATGAAAGGTTTACGTGTGAAGAAATAACAAGAATAGCGAAGTTAGAGGATAAAATATCAACTAAGCCTAAAGAGCGGTCACAAAGTGATCCCCAAGTAAATGATGATGATTTTGATAAAATACTCGTGGAAATTCACAAGAACTGTGATATATATTTTGATGATCCCGTACCTCACTCAATAATAAATCCTACCATCTCTCCGGTGACTGCTTAGGAGTAATATTGGAAGAATCGTTCATTCGCATAGACTGGATTTTTATATAGTTTCTTTCTTTTTTCGAATCACGTGGGTGGCTTAGCCGAAAGGCGCAGAGCATATATCATACACAGTACGATATCCGGTAAAATTCTTGCCGGAGAATAGGGGCTGTGTGACGTAAGATTTATATACATTGTTTTTTTTATTCCGATAGATGATTCTGGAATAGACTAATTTTTCTCAGAATAATCTCATTTTCGAAATGTTAAAGCGAGGCCTTAGGAAAGGAAGGTAAGTATTGTATTCTTATTGTATTGCAAGTTCGAGACTGGAGGAAGATTCATCCAACTAAGTATTACCTTGTATTATAAAAGAAAAATTCTTTTTGGGATAGTTTCTCAACATAGGATGATAGATGAATTTCTCTCGATCATCACAGGGTAGTGGAACATGTGAGGCAGGAGCGGAAAAGATTTCAGAAGGTGTTAATATTTCGGAACTAGATTCCTGTTTATTATGCAACCAAGAGCTTTTATTATATGAAATAAAAAAGTCATTTACCATACTCACCTGACATATATATCACCTCAATTGTATCGAAAGTTCTATGATGATTTTTTTTTCGCTATTTCCAATCCTGATTTTTCGTGATGCTGGCGATTTCAAGTCCGCAGGTATATCTTCACTAAAGCTGAAGCAACCAGGATTCCAAGACCTCGAACAGGAAGAGATAAGTTTTTAGTTGAACCTTTTATCGCTTAAATCAAACGAAGCTAATCACCTTTACATCCATCACATTCATCATCAATCCCATCAACCGAATGATACTTACGGTATTTTGATCCTTGATATTTACCGAGAAATATGGTTCTGAATCTGATTCGACTAGGAGCATTTCGCTCCTGGATTCGAGTTGTGAGAAGGCTTAAATAATCTTTATTTTGATAGGATAATTCGAATCGTGATTCAAAATTACTGCGGAACCCTACCGAGAGAGAAAAGTCCAAGGGGTTTAAATCCCTCAAATGAAGTTTCATGAATGCAATGTCGTGGTCTTCCATTTAGAGAAATGCGGAACCTAGGTGTAGTGATGGGGTTAATAAAGGACAAGGGATACCATTCAAGCGAAGTAAAAATAAGCATGGATATCTGTTCTCATAGAAATACCATGTATCATAGGATAGTTCTGACATTTTTCAAGACAGGTGAAGTAAAATTATTTCTGAATTTCAGCCCCTGCATCATTTTCTATCCTTAAGATATAGTCATATCACACGAAAATAAAAGAATTTTAACACTGCATATGATCTCTTAACCGGTAATGACTTATCCCTATATACTATATTCCGCTGATCGCTCTAGAGCAATACACTAATGCAAGTTATTTTGAAAATTAGGATTGATAAATTATTGGATATTAAGATTTTCATGTTTTGCAACGATCGTAGCTCTTAACTGTGAAAGGGTCTTAATTATAAAAACTGTGTATATTGGAAGAGAACCGTTTCTAGTAAGAAAAAAAAATCAGGCCAAATAACTTTCACGCATTTACAATCAAAACGGCATACTCTCAAAAACTCTAACAAAATCACTTGAACCAATTTTTCTTCTATCTTCGCAAAATGCTTTCAAACTCTGATATGTTTTTGATCGTACTATTCAGCATCATAATTGTAATCTATGAGATGCTAACCCGGGGTGTCCTAACAATAGAGGCACTCCAAGGTATTTTCGCAGGGAATGTTATAATGTATATAATCTTTGCAGGGGGCGTATTATTTTTACACAAATATCTCTCTTTGACTCCGACCCCACAAATTGCCAAACTTGAAAAATCAATATTGGCATTAAATAATGAAATACAAAAAATAAAATGAGAGACAGAATGGGACTGCGTATCACAAGGTAAGAAATATTCTGCTCTTCCTAGTTGTCTTTGCATATATCCTCAAGGGTAAATAGGTACTAACTTTTATTATTTATCATTTAGGTTCATCTCGATTCTCTTCTAGTCATATATCTACCAACCAATATTCAGAATATCCTGATGAAGTCCAAAATTTATGGGTAGAATTTACAACCTTATTTAATCAAAGAAGAAAGAGGGAGGAGCGCTTTTACACACAATTATACAATGTAATTTCTCAAGAAATTTATCTAAGCTTCGCGACTTTGGCGAGTTTTTACCACCATCAAAAAACTCTAAGGACTACTTCCTTAGATAAAATTGAAGAATGGGTTGAAAGAGAAGGGAGGAGAGATTCTAGTAATAGCAGTAGTAATAGTAATAATGGTAGTTAGCAATAGTGATAGGAAAAAAAATAATTAGTATAGAAATTTACAATAGAGCAAAGAAATGACTTGATGCTAGGAACTCTCATTTATAGCTTAAGATCCGAGTATTCTCACCCTCTTAGAATCTTTATGGCTCTATGAGCATCATTTATTTCAAACGCTATCTTCCTAGCCATTTTTTATATTTCTTAGCCAGAAAGGCATTTATCTGAAAATTC